TAACCTTGCTATGGCCTTTGTCCCCAATGCCCTGTGAGTGGGGGTAGGGGCAGATCTGTTCTGGAGGTGGGACCTCATGTTGGGTCTTAGTGAGGCTGTTAATTACCGAGGCCTTTCTCTTCGTGGCCTCACCTTCTCATTTATGCAATGGAAGCAACCACCTACATCTTCTTCCATCAGACCCTGAGCATCCAGTCAACAAACTGATGGGGTCAGGGTATTCCTGGCAGTCCTGTGGGGTTAGACCTGTATCCCTGGCCCAGAGAAGTTCAGGGAAGGGTGGGATGGGGGGGGTGGGGGGGTGGGGCAGCTACTGGAGAGGGCGAGGGGAAGTTAGGGAGTGGGTAATGGACAACAAGGAAGAAATCTTAGATGATGAGGGTCCTAGAAGTTGGGGTCATTGAAGGTGAGGAAGGTCACTGAAGGTCAGAGAACAGAAGGGTTGAGGGTCAACAGAGAGAGAGGGAAAGGTTCACTGAAGTGAGTGATCAGGAGGCTGTCTGAGAAGAAAGGGAATGGTGAAGACAAGGCCCTGGGTGGGAGCATGGAAATGAGGCTTCCTGAAGACAAACCAGATGATGTTCCCTAATTTGGAGTACCAAGCCAGCCAGGGAAATTCCCATAATGCCAATTCTCAATGCCCCGAATAGCAGAATACCATTAGTTTGACCCCATGCCAGGAAAGGTGCAAAGAACAAAGTGTCCCAAATAGGCTATCAAGGTGTGATGTGAATTATAACTTCCATGCAGATGGCATTTGAGCAGCTTTTGAAAACACTTTCAGGGTTTTTTGATTTTGTTTTGTTTTTTAATGTCAGGTCACTCCCTCCAAAAGGTTGTGGAAATAAATTTGAATAAACAAAACAGGTTTGCTGAAAATAAAACCAGGACGCCCAAGCTGCTCCAGTCAGCCTTCTTCCACAAGGCCCCACCTGTCAGCCAGTGCAGAACCTTGGCTGAGCGAGTAGCATCCATCATGAACCAGGTGAGTGCAAGGGGGCCTGGCAGGTGCTGAGATGTTGCTGTGGGCGGAGAGAGGCCAGGCTCTGGGTTTGGGGCTGGGGATCAGGTGGAGCTGGAAACCAGGATCTCAACTGGGAACAGCTGGGGAAGGAGTACCCAGATTAGTTGAGAGCAGGTCTCTTACTGGCCTTTTCCTATAGGTGATCGTGTTCTTGGTAATGGCCATGGGAACCCACACCCTCAGTATTCGGATCAAGAAGGACTGCATCCACTGGTCCAGCTGCTGCCCCAGCAAAGGGCAGAACCCCACTCATGAATGGCTGACGCAGAACACTGTGCTCATGACCCCGCCAGAGAGCGCTAGCCTCATCCACTCCCTAGAATCCTGCAGGGCCAGTGAAGATGGACCCCTCAACAGCAGGTCTATCTCCCCCTGGAGATATGAGTGAGTCTGCAGCCCCCTCCCAAATTCTTGCATGTGTTCCTGTCAGAGTATATGCGAGGGTCTGAGGAGTTCCACACAATTCCAGCCTGCCTGCCCCTTTTTATCTGAGACTCCATAAAGATTTGAGTGTTTCACAAGGCCTAGTCTGGGTAGCTCTGACTCTTATTGGGTGATAGCCAATTACCCAAGATTTCAAAGCTCAGCTTTTTCTTTTTTCTTTTCTTTTCTTTTCTTTTCTTTTCTTTTCTTTTCTTTTCTTTTCTTTTCTTTTCTTTTCTTTTCTTTTCTTTTCTTTCTTTCTTTTCTTTCTTTTCTTTTCTTTTCTTTTCTTTTCTTTTCTTTTCTTTTCTTTTCTTTTTGAGAGCGCACACATAAGGGAGAGGAGCAGAGGGAGAGACAGAGACAGAGAGAGCGAGAGGGAAAGAGTCTTAAGCAGCCTCCATACTGAGTGCAGAGCCCTACTCAGGACTTGATCCCACAACCCTGGGATCATGACCTGAGCCGGAATCAAAAGCCAGATGTGCAACTGCCTGAGCTACTCAGTCAGTTGAACCTTTGATTATGGGCAGTCTTACTCTTTCATTCGGTGTGCTACACATATATTAAAATTTTCTATTTGTGCCACGATGTAAAAAAATATTAGGAAGCACTGAAATCAGGACAACAAAACAATATATTAAAAATTAGGGCTTAAGGGATCTCTATCCTGTGTCTTCTTGGGGTGTCTGTGTTCCCATTCCCCATAAATGTAACTCTGGGATGGGTGGACAAGTTCAGGGGGAAGGGAGAAGGTCAGCTTTGATTGAGACCAGATCCAGGGAGAAGACTGCAGGTCACCATGCTTTGAAGTGGTCTTAGAAGTCTGGCTTGGTCCTGGGCTAAATCCAAAAGAGGTGGGAGCCCCTTTGGGGAGGCTGGGCGCCCGATGGCTGACTTGGCTGGGGTCCAGACCCCTTGTTTGGAGGCCATGACCCCCTGAAGACTACGTGGCTGATCTTCCCCAAAGTGTTCTTTGCGATACTTGTCCCACATTAATCAGAAATTAATGATGACAGTTAAGTGTGGGAAAAGCTGCTTGAGCCCTCACCCCTCAGAGATTCATAATGTGCTCAGAGCGTTAAAGGTTGCAAGAAGTCTGTGGAAAAGAAGGCATAAATTCAGTATTTCCCAAACTCATTTGGCCACAGGCCTCTTTTCTTGCAGGGTAGTTATGAGGGAACCTATTCTGGGAAATGCTGTGCCAGCTGAGCCCCAGCTCAGGAGGGCTTGTCTGTAGGAGAATGGCCTTACAACCGAGCGACTGTTTCCTGCTAGCCTTGGGGAGTCTCAGACCTTTGGAGCATCTACTTTTAAAGTCTTGTTTTGGCCACAGAATCCTTTCAGAATGAGTAAATAAGTGTTACCATGCACGCTTATGTGTGTTTATAATATATGCATGAAAAGTTTCTGGAAGGATGTGCAGAAAATAGTTGACAGTGGCTCCCTCTGGGGAGTGGGACTGGTAGGGAGACAGTGAACTTTACAGTTTTTTTAATACTTGGACGTAAGAGCAGTTTTTACTTTATAAAAGAACGCTGAAAGTGTAATGACATTTACAAAAAGAAACCTCATGCCTGAGCCCAGCATGACTATCAGATGGAAGGAGAGCCTGTTTGGTGGAGGCTGCTAGCCTTCCCCTGCCTCTGCAAGGACTCCCAGGCCCAGAAAACCACTCTTCTTTCCCCGATCCTCACTTACAGGAGGTGAAACAAATCCCAGAGAGGAGGGGGTGACTTGCTTAAAGTCACTCAGCAAGTGGGTGCAAGAGCTGAGACAAACAGCCAGGCCTGCCTCACTACATTTCCATGTTGGGCCCTCCCTGCTTCCGGCCCATCCCCTTGTCTGCCCAGCCAGTCTCCCTCCAGAGTCTGATGAGTGCCACCCCCGCAGGTTGGACAGGGACTTGAACCGGCTCCCTCAGGACCTGTACCACGCCCGTTGCCTGTGTCCACACTGTGTCAGCCTACGGACTGGCTCCCACATGGACCCCCTGGGCAACTCGGAGTTGCTCTACCACAACCAGACTGTCTTCTACCGGCGGCCATGCCCTGGGGAGCAGGGTACCCGTGACGGCTACTGCTTGGAACAAAGGCTCTACCGCGTCTCCCTGGCTTGTGTGTGTGTGCGGCCCCGAGTGATGGCCTAGTCATGTGCCCATAGCTGGTTCCCGGGTGGAACACTGGAACTGGGTGCATGACCACCTGCCATGGTGAGCCAGGAACCCGAATGCTCAACCCTTACAAAACACTACAGGAGCAGCAGGATTGTGGGACAGGGTGGAGGACTTTGGGAGGATCCACACGTTTCACCATTTGGAGTGGATGGGAAATGCAGGGTGAAGCAATGGAGCTGTTTATGCCTGCTAAAAGAGAGCATCCTGCATTTCCTCTTGGGAAAGGTCATAAAGGCCCTCCTCGTTTCTGGAGGCCGCCACCCCCATCTCTTCCTTTTCTCCCATCCCCAGCTGCCATGGCACAGCACAAGCACTTTCTTGCTACTTTCCTTGTTGTCAGTGGAGAGGCCCTCATTTCATTTGTTTGTTCATCTGTCCATCCATGCCTCCATGCCTCCATGCCTCCATGCATCCATCCATCCATCCAACACTCAGTGAGCATCTCCTTTGCACATACCTTGGTTCAGTTACTAGGCTCTGAGGAAGAGGCTGCTATTGAGCGTGGAGACATTTATCCAAATAAATAATGTGTATTTAAAACGGCCTAAATTGTCTTGGCGTCCCTGGTGCCTGAACACCAAGCTCCCCAGCCTGGTTCCTTCTCTTCCCCACCTTCAGTCCTTACCTACTGCCCTGTTCTTCTGCCTTCCAGAGTTTCTGCTGTGGCCTCCCATCCCTCCCCTTCTCTGGCTCCCTGGCCTACCCCTGAACACTGGGGTGGGGGTCAGGCTGCCCTCCTGGCATGCTGGAAAGACAGAGGCCCATTGAGGCACTGCAGCAGGCACACAGCGCCCCCTTGTCCCCCCAACAATCTGCCTTTGTCCTCAGTCTTGGCTGCTACAGCCTGGTCCTGGGGGGTGCTGCCTGGGCCGGGCTCCAGCTCCCACCATCCCTAAAAGGAAAAGGGAGAAAGGACAGCCAGGAAGAGAGGAGTTAGGGGAGGGGGATGCAAACTTCTTCAGGCCCGGGTCCTTGGGGGGCTCCTAGTTTAGCCCATTTCTCGGCTCACCACCTGGCTCCTCCCGGTTTCTTTGTGGACCTCCTCCTTTCCCCCCCCCTCCTCCCTCTCCCCTTCTCTGGGCGGGGTTGGTCTCCAGTAAGGGGAGGGCTGACCACTCCTCCCTGCCCCGCCCCACCCCTTCCCATGTGCTTCCTGGGGGGCTGTTGCAGGCCCCAGCAGGGGCACTCTGGGCAGCTGGGAGAAGACCCATCTGGGCAAGCCTCCCTGCGGCCCCACAGCCAGCCTGCCTACTTCTCTTTCAGGTTTCTCCAAGTGCCTCCCTGCTCCTGTTTGCTTCCCCATCTCTCCAGGTTTCCGTCTTCCCAGTTCCCTTCCTGGGCTGGTGGCAGTGGGGTCTGTGCCTGGTGGGCCCCACAGAGATGCTCAGTGCTCGGGATCGCCGGGACCGGCCCCCCGAAGAGGGGGCAGCTGCAGTGCTCCAGGGCTTCGCCGTGGACAAGACCTTCCTCTCCTCCCTCAAAGGCATCTTGCTGGAAACTGAGCTGGTAACAGCCACCTCCCCAACCTGGCGCCTCTATCTCTCCCAGTGTTATCCCACTCCTCCCTCTCCCCATCCCAGGGCCCCCACTGGGCTCACTCCTCAGCCGCCTCCTTTCCCAGGCTTTCTGGACACCCCTGCTCTCCCCAGCTGCCCTGCCCTCACCTCCTACCCTGCCTTCTTTCTGCCTCTCCATCTGAAGGCAGTTACAGCAGGTTTAGGTGCAGCAGGAAGAACTGAAGTTAGACCGGACATAAAAGGGCAGACTTCCTGCAGTCCCACTGTATCTGTTGTCTGCTCCCCATGAACATCTATTCTCAGGAAAGGATCTTCCCTTGTCACTTAGCAAGACCTTAGTGTAAACTTAAGTCCATTGCATATATGTCATCCTACATTGCCAGAGCCCAGGGACCCTTAAAGTCCATCTGCCTTCTAAACCTTGTCTCTGGGTGTAGAACCAAAGGCCTTGTTTTGGTCCTTGTTTAGAGGAGTTTCTGATATCTGGGAGTGGGGAAAGTATTATGGCATAGGGGGTCCCCTGGGGGTGCAGGACTGCTGTGGGCATGACTCCAGAGGCTGGAGTTCACCCTGTACCCTGTGCTTCAGCAGGACACCTCTTTTGTGGTTTCCATAGAATGGTGCTCCCTGGGGCAGTGCAGCTGGGCCACACTGCTGGGGTTGCTGGGATCCAGGGCAGGGGGAAGTGGGAAGCTGGAGACTTCCCTCAATGGGCAAACGCCCTGGAGTATGGCTCCCGGTACCAGAGATGGGGAGGCCTCCAAGGATGGGTGGTGGGGGCCAGCCTGGGGGAGTTCCTCAGGAGGGGAAGGCAAAAATCTGGCCATGCCTGTGTCCCCTTCCTGGCAAGCTTCACATATTTGGTCCCACAGGCCCTGACCTTCATCATCTTCATCTGCTTCACGGCCTCCATCTCCGCCTACATGGCTGCAGCACTACTTGAGTTCTTCATCACACTCGCTTTCCTCTTCCTCTATGCCACCCAGTACTATCAGCGCTTCGATCGGCTGAACTGGCCCTGTCTGGTGAGGGACCCTGCCTCCCCTACCATATTCTGGTCCCTTTCTTCTCTGAATCCTAAGTTTTCCTTTTCCCTCCCAGCCTCTCTCCTTTTCCTGGGTCAGTAAGGGGCCCAGCCCTGACCCTGATTTCACTGTTGTCACTGACAACAAGGATGCAGATCACTTAGAGTTGCTCTTCCACTCACCAAAGGTCCAGGTCCAGGTCCAGCCCTGCCCTGGCCCTCCTGGCTGGCATGCCCCAGCCCTGTGCCACCCAGGGCCTGGCTTCTTGTCCTGGTCTCTTTGCATTCACCTGTATCCCTTCCCTGGTTAGCAGTGGGGTCTCTGTCTCTCTCTCTCTTTCTCTCAAGTGCTTTATATTGTGTCCAGGGGTATCTCCATGCAGGGATTCATAGTGTCTGAGGGTCAAGCTGCTGACCAGCCTGGAAAACCTCAGGGTGATGTTCCCTTGCCCTCTGACTTCCCTTTGACCCTGCACCCCCGACCCCCCAGGACTTCCTCCGCTGTGTCAGTGCCATCATCATCTTCCTGGTGGTCTCCTTTGCGGCTGTGACCTCCCGGGATGGAGCTGCCATTGCTGCTTTTGTGAGTCCAGCCCCACAGAGCTCCCCAGGCCCTAAGGGCCTCTGGCTGGTGTTTGCACACTCTCTGTGCCTCCCCACAAGCCCAAGCCAGTGCCCAGGCCTCTGGCTCACACCTTGCCCCATACCACCCATCTCCTTCTGCCTAATAGATGGTGGCCAATGGCCTTTATTGTGCCATCCCTGATTCTACTCCCACAGGTTTTTGGCATCATCCTGGTTTCCGTCTTTGCCTATGATGCCTTCAAGATCTACCGGACTGAGATGGCACCCAGGACCACCCAGGGTGAGTGTCCGTGCTCTGGGAAGAGAAGATGCCCCCTCTATCCTTTGCTCCAGCTACCCCATCCTGATATGCCCTTCCCTGCCTGCCTCCATATTCACAGATGACCAGCAGTGACCCTGAGCTACCTGGCTCCCAGGCCCAGCCAGACAAAGGCAACAGTGCACATTTCCTTTGGTTTCACTAGCCCACAGCCTACTACCTCCCAGCCAGGCCTACAGAGATGGATTCTGGCCTGAGAAGTCACCAGATACTTGTCTGTGGGGCTCAGTGCTCTGATGAAGCTCCAACAGGAAGGAGGTGTTTTGGGGAGGGAGGGCAGGAGGAAGCTGGTCATTCCCAAATTAAAAGATTCAAATCCTACTGGTGAGTCTTTTTCTTCCCCAGAAATCAGGCAGATTAGGAAAGCCAGGGAGTATTCATAGAAATGCTGCCTGGAGCGGGTCATGGTCCCTCTTCTGCAACCAGGTCTGAGCAGTGAGGAAGGGCAGCTGCACTGAAGGTGCTGAAAACTTCCTTCAACACAAAACTTCCTCTCCACATTCTCTGTGTGCCAGGCCTTTGCGGAGTGCCTGGTGGCTGGGTTCCCAGAGTCCTGTGTCTGAGAAGGCACAAGCCTTCCCCATGTAAGTGCCCACCTGCCATACCTGCACACCCAGGTTTGTTGGTGGGTTTGGGACCAGGTGCTTGCCTGGGGTGTGTGTAGAGCTCCCCCTTGTGGTGTGGGGAGGACTTGGCCCACAGGCCACAGGAGCGAGGTCAGCCTGCGGCACCGGATGAGGGCAGAACTTCCCAAAATGCTGGCTCTGGAAGAGCCCTTAGACATCAGCTGGTCCGATGACTTCATTTCACAAAAGAGAAAACAAGCCTAGTCACAGGGAGCGACCTCTTTACTTGTGACAGAGCTGGGACTAGAACCCAGCTTGCCTAACACCTATCTGTAAGGGTGATCTGGATACTGTACTAAACTCCTATAGTTCAGGAAAAAAAATGGCCCAGCCTCATCTCCAGCTCCCTCCACCAGTGGGTCCAGTCTTCCAGCTTACCAGCGCCTCATCAAATATTTCCTGAGCATCTCCTGTATGCAGGCCCTGTGCCGGGCCCCAGGGATTCAGGAGTGACAGGTGGGCCTGTCCTTGAGCTCTCACAGACTGGGAAGGAGACAGGCTAGTCATGACTGCCCACATAAATGCTGTGGGAGAGTTTGACTAAGGGGGTTTGGAGAACAGGCACTGCCACAGCCCAGGAATCAGCCCTGCCTGGCCCATGATAGTCCAGCACAGCTGGGATGTCCCTGCATAGCCCTATAGATCCCACATGACCTAGCTCAGTGGCTTGCTCTACCTCTAACGCTGGTTTGCTCCCACCCTGAAATAACTTCCTTTTCTCTGGGGTGCTCCTTCCAGATGCAGCCCCCAACCCCAACCCCTGCCTGAACCTTGGAACTCTGGAAGAGCTGCTCTGCTCCCTTTGGTGATAATCATGGGTCTCTCTTGGTCTGACTGCTCCGATTTTCCTGTCCTCATGTCCTCCCTGGCTTCTCACCAGTACTGGCAGCCTCTCCAGAGCTAGAACCAGTCAGATTTTGTATTTTTCTGGTTTCTCCACATTCTCAGGGCTCCATGCACAGTCCATTCTCCACCCTTGGGGGAGTTGGGATCAAGGCTTCAGAGGAGGCATAGGAGGGGCTTAGCCAGGTCAGTTCAGGAGATGGGGCGCCAGGCGAAGGGATGAGAAGATGGTCAGGAGAACCTGAGCCCATAAAGCCCAGCAGGGGGCAGGCATTTGCTTGGAGCAGAATGGGAGAGGGGCCAGCCCTGTCTGTCCCCTGGGCAGTTGTATGACCTGGGCCAGACTGTCCCTGCCTGGTGGGAGCTCGGAGAGAGCGGGAGTGTGATCTATGGTGCGCACCTGCACATACACCTGTGCTCATCTGTGCCCGTTTGGAAGGCCAAAGTAAAACGATCAATGCCCATCTTTGGTCCACAGTGCCTGTTGATTCAGGGTCAGCGGCAGCTGGCTCCAGTGTCTCGGGATCCCCTCATGATGAGGGGCTGACCATAGAGGCTGAGGTCAGACCTGGGCCCCAGCTGACTATGCCTGAGGATGATAGGGAGTGGGGGGCACCCTGTGGGTTACTCATAAGGGGCCTGTGTCAACCCTTTTATGAACTTCCATCCCCAGTGAGCCCTGAGCCTCTCTAGTGTCAGTGGGAAATTCATTTAGGAGGGAATGGGTATCTCAGGACACCTGTAACCCCTGCAGTCTCAGAGCTGGGGTAGGTGGAGGGTAGCCTCAGCTTTGACACTAAAATTCTGTCTCCCAGCACATAGAATTAGCTCACCCCTCTGGTGCCTTTGTTTTCTCTCCTGACATTTCTCCTTCTCCTCCCTTGTATGGTTGACTGAGCAGAACTGGGACTCAGGGAGGACACCTCACTTCTCTGGGCCTTGGCTTCCTCCTCTGTAGATGTGGAATGCTTTGGTTCCCACAGCTCTGACACAGGGACAGGGACTCCCTCTTCTCAGGAGCTTTAAGAGCTCCAGGCTGGCGGTGGAAAGGACAGGGAGCAGGCAGAGTCTGGCACTCATCTTTATTACAGGTTGGCAAGAATGAAGTTCCAGAGGCAGTGTCACTCCTCATCATGCAGTTTTTGCTGAGAAAGGAATAAAAGGTGTGAGGGGGCAGCTGGCAAGAGGGAGGAAGGGTGTGGGGAAGAATCTCCAGGGCTTTTAGGGGCCTAAAGGGGATGCCTTTAGGGGGAGAGGTTCTGGCCTCAGGGATCTTGGTTCTCATTTGCGGGTCTTTGTAGTTTAGGGGGTGGAACTGGGCTTTCTTCAGAGGTGCCAGTCTGTACGGGCCACTCTGAGTAGGAAGGGGATTCTCAGGCATGGGAGCTATGGGACCCCCAGGTCTGTCACACTATAGGGTAAGGAGTGCCCACTCTGAGGGGCACTGATATTGGCGGGTGTGTTGACATGGGGTGACTAGTGGGGCCCAGAGGAGTGACCCACCTTGGCGCCGATGTCGCGGCTCTTGGCCCGCAGCTTGTTGACCTGGGACTCGGCGATGTCCGCCCGCTCCTCTGCCTCATCCAGCTCGTGCTGCACCTTGCGGAACTTGGACAAGTTGGTATTGGCCTGCTCCTCCTGCAGGGGCGGGGGTTAGGGCGGGGGAGGATGAAGTGAGAGGCAGCGGGGGTTGGAAATACTGAGCATCCCAATCTGAGGGACTCCCTGTCCCCGAGCTAGGGGCTTGGTGTTCTCACCCCCAACTATGTTCCCCTACGAGCTTTGCCAAGGATATCCTGCTCCTGGCTTGGCATCCTCCTCAACTTGCCCAGAATTCAGAATCCTTCATGGCCACCCACTGCCCAAGATGCATTAGACACTGTCTGGTCTGGTTTCTTTCAGAACCCAGCCTCACTGCACCTGCTCAACCAGAACTCTGATAGATGCTCCCAACTGCAGGGTTCCTGCACACATGTGAGCATTAACACCTTATTTGCACACTTTGCAGCCCACCCGGAGTCCTCCCCACTGCTCTATGGTCAGGTCCTTCTCTGGGCCCAATTCCATAGCCACCTTCCAGCCTTCAGCACTGTCTGGCCCCCTGGCCTGCTTAGCAGTGGCACTGCTTTCTCTTGGACCTACTGGTGTATGGATTATAAGCAGTTTGTAGGCAGGTCCTGGGTCTATTTGACCCAAAAGCATTGCTTTTGTTTGCTCAGGGTGCCTGACATAGCTCTGAGCACCCAGGGCACGTGGAACGTCCAGTCCCCATGCTGAGGCGGACACCTGCCAATTCTCACACATGAGAGGTATGTTGACAGAGAATGGAGAAAACCATGAACTCACTGCCTCCTCTGCCTGGCGCTTGTAGGCCTTGACCTTCAGTTGCAGCTTGTCCACCAGGTCCTGCAGCCGCAGCAGGTTCTTCTTGTCCTCCTCCGTCTGGGGGTGGATGGATGGGAGAAGCCAATTGAGAGGAGGAGCAAGTAGAATCATTGTTCCCTCCCTCAATATATCACTTTCCTCCCTAGGCCTTAGTTGCCTCTCCCTCCCATGGGCCAGGTCAATGAGGGGGTGGGGGATTCTACCTCTGTTGCTACTTATAGGTCAAAGGACCACAGCAAGGTCCTCAGTCCAGATCTAAAAGGCAAAGAGGGCTGTAGCGCTAAAGTTGGAAGTGGGGGAAGGGGCCCAGAACCAAACAGAATTATTTCATCTGATAACATGGAGACATCGGAGCTGTGTCAGTTCCAACCTGGAGCACTGTAGATGCTCCTGGCCAGTGGTTTTAGAGTGAGCTGAGAGGACTAATGAGGAACCCCGAACAAAGGGTATTATCATAGTCCAGACCATTCTGACCTATCATATATATATTGTACTGGGTCAGATTTGGGCACTGTACAGGATCGCTGTCACCTGATCATTCCTATCTCCACATCATTGCATGTGCTAGGATACCACTTGCCCTTAGGATTGCAGTACATCTGCAGTTCTATAGCTGTGTCTCCTTCTTGTGCCTCTCATATCCAACTGTCAAATGAATCAATACCCCCTTTCTCTGTCCTTCCTTCCCAGGCACACTGTGAAAACAACAGGTCAAGGGCAAAAGCTCTGAACTATGCAGATGCAGGTCTTAGAACATTTTGGGATCTTCTTTATCTAAGGCCTTCTATCTGTTGTTCCAGAAACTCCTTGGAAGATCTGAGTCTTTTCCCATCTCTGACTTTTATCCCTAAAGTGCTACACTATGTCCCCCCCCTTTCAGGCCAGTAGAAGCGTTCCTTGGACTGTGCTAAAGCCTTAATGGTAGCACTTTAGGTTATTAAAAAAAAATCCTGGGGCGCCTGGGTGGCGCAGTCGGTTAAGCGCCAGACTTCAGCCAGGTCACGATCTCGCGGTCCGTGAGTTCGAGCCCCGCGTCAGGCTCTGGGCTGATGGCTCAGAGCCTGGAGCCTGTTTCCGATTCTGTGTCTCCCTCTCTCTCTGACCCTCCCCCGTTCATGCTCTGTCTCTCTCTGTCCCAAAAATAAATAAACGTTGAAAAAAAAAATTAAAAAAAAATAAATAAATAAAAATCCTGAGGAAATTGCTGGTTAAAAGATTTTC